GCAGGACAGCTCAGCCCACCTGAACTCTTCAGGCAGCACAGCTTCACACAATTCATTTATTATTTTCTATCCTAATAAATGAGTGGGAAATTTCCACTCCTTGGATCAGGAGATGCTCTGAATATTTATGTTATTGTTCACCAATTGGGAAAAAAAAAAGAGAGAAGTGCTATAAAGGAACATGTTTGGTGACCCAGTTTGAGTGGCTCATTACGATTAGATCAAGCTAATTGCCAGCCTTGTATTTCATTTGGCAACTTGTTAAGCTAATTGAACAAAATAAAACTAATGAACAATTATAATGAAGTTTATAATTAGACCATTGGAAAAAACTCAGCGTGAGAATATTTAAAGCATAATGAATGTGTGGGAGGTTTGGGAGGGGGGCAGTAAATTATGTCACTCTCTCCCACCAAAACCTTTCTTCCCAGGTTCTTGGTGCATTACCTATTCCCAAACCATGTCAGCGTGGCATTTTCTTTATCATTAATTACCTGAATGCCTTTAATGTCCATAGATGGCATTTCCATGGATCCTAAAGGCTGGAATCAGCCTGGATTCCAGGCTCAGAGTGGCCACTCTGTGACACCCCCAGCTCCACCTTTACAATTCCAGGTCTCCATTAAGGATGGGTTTGTAATCCTAAAAGTGAAAATCAAGCATGTGGAGCAGGCAGAGGAGTTCACAAGCCCCAGCACAGAAACCTGGTACAGGAGCCAGGGATGCTGAAGGGGGAAGAACAGAAAGAAAAATGCTCTCTGCCTGATTAGAGCCATTTTTTGAAAATAGTTATTTTTGTCTCATATCTGAATAAACCCATTCCAGCCCCCTTTCATCCCCTGCTGCTGAAGCACAGAAAATTAAATACCATGATAAGACTTTCTGGAGTTTCAATTTTCAGGTCAAGCAGGTACCCACCAAAACCTAATAGAATTGTCACACCAGGCTCTGCATTGCTTAAAAACGCCTCTTCCCCTTGTTTGTACATGAAAGTAATTAGTTCATCCAGAACTCAGTGGTAACTGAGGTTTTGCATCAGGGAATAAAGGCAGAATCACTTCAGCCAGGGAGGAAATGTGTTCAGCCTTTTCTCCTGGCTGTCTGGAGGTTCCCAGTGGTTCTGGGACTCTGAAATTAAATTCTGGATTTCAGTAGGAGCCCACAGTGCCAAGGGGCACATGCACAGGGCAGGGATGAAGCACACGAGGTCCCAGAGGAGCAAAGGGTGGGAGAGGAGGAGAATGAGCCCTGGAGATGTGAAACAGCTCAGCACTGATCCCACTCTCTGCCTGCAACCACTGTAATCCCAGGGAGAGTAATGCTCTTCTTCCCATTCACAGAGCTGCTTTACTTTCACCAAGATTAGGATAATACACTGACTCAGGGAAAAAAAAAATCATTTTTATGAGCTATCAAAATCTCTATTCCCCTCCCCTGTTTTAATTTGAGCTGCATTAGGAGAAAACCTCTGTTTCTGCAGTCATGTCTCAATATTTTTATGCCATTAGAACCAGCTGTCCTCTTAATGTAATTACAGCTTTCACCAGGGGAGTGATCAGATCCTGGTGGCAGCGGGAGGCTGGGGCTGGCTGAGGCTCTCCCTGTTCCATCACCTTTCCATCAGCCTTGCTGTGGGGTTTGTGCAGGTGTTTGCTCACCTGCCAGCCTGGGGCTGCTCCCACATCAGGAGGGAGTTTTGGCAAGGAGGGTGCAGAGACCACAACCAGCCCTTGCAGGGTTTACAAATGCCTTTCCCCATGAAAAGGGCAAATTTTTCACGTGGAAAAATTGCTGAGGATGGAGGGCAGGGGCTGCAGGCTGAGCTCTGCCCCTGCTCCCTCCTTTGGTGACCTCTCTAAAATCTCCCACACACACAGGGATTCCCATGGGCTTGTGCTGGATTGGGCATTCCCTGCCCCAATTCCCTCCCCTCTTGCATGCACACACCCTCTAATTACAGAAAGGTTGAGGAAATGGGAACAAACCCTGAAGGGAAGCATGAAATGGCTCCATGGCCCCAGCTAGCCAGGGCCATTTAAAACCTTGCTTGGCATTTGCATTATAAGAACAAATCCTGTACAGGAATCTCTCCTCTGCTTCCTGCTCCTGCATTAATTCATGAAGTGTCATGTATCTAGCATATTTTATTATACATGAGAACCAGACAAATTAAAATTCTCAGCTGAGTATCACATTTGTACACTCAAGGCTGCCTCCTTCAGCTATGCTGAGGGTTGGAGTGACACTGCTTTAAACTCAGCTCACCTTCCAAACCAAGTCAGTTAAACCAAGCAAATTCTCAACATTTTCTTCACAATTTATTTCCATCCAGCTTTAAACTCTTTGTGGCTAAGAGAAGGTGAGGATAAATACTCTCCTGATCCTTGTCAAAACACAGATCAATAGACTGGGAATGCTGGAAGCAATCGGTGCCTTTGTAAAACAAAAACAGAGCAGGGATGGAGCTGGGTGATCTTGAAAGGTCCCTTCCAACCCAAACCATTCCCTGATTTTACAACTATTCCCACCAATGGCACTGTTATCCTGCAGCAGCCAAAACTTTGAGTCTGCAGAAGAGGGAACAAAACTGGAAAAGGGATTTTTTTTTTTTTATGTAGATTCCTCATTAGCAACATGAGCCTCCTCACATTAGTGATGTATACCTTAATATGCTATTGTAAACTAATTAGCAGTCCTGGAGATGATGTTTTTTTCCAAGGGACATTATCCTTTCAGCTGGGATCTCAGGCTGAATGCTGATAAGCCTCTTGAACTTTGCAAAACCACTCGACAAAAGTAGCAGGACTAGAATTCGTTAAGGTCTTCTAATTAAGAAGTACAAGGCCCAATTAAGCCCTCACTAATGTGCTGCCCAGCACAGTTGTGCTGAGGATTTTCTCAGCCCCACCAGGGCTGGTTCCTCACTTGAGTTCACCTCCAGCTGCTGGTTTGGGAGAATTTCTGTGAGAAATGGTGTGGGCAGCTGGAGCCCTGCATTAACACTCTGGGCCATCTCACTGTTCTGCAGCTGGAATTGTTCTGGATTCTCTGAGAGCATCCCAGAGCTGCTTCCCTCTCCTGGGGGAGACACAGAGCATGCAGAGCTCAGCCTGATGCTGATTATTTCATTATTGGAACATAAGGAGGCCCCAGATTCCCAGCAGGGGAAATGTGTGTGCTCCCCTCAGCTCCCAGCCTGGATCGTGGCCACACCTCACAGAACTCCCACCCTCCTTTATTCCTGGGAAAACACAGCTCAGGACATGCAGCTTCCCCTTTCTACAAAAAAAAAGGGGAAGAAAATGAAGTTACATCTTGTTGCTCTCCAAGACCTGGGTATAGATGAGCTAAAAATGCCAATGAGCTAAAAATGCCCTTGCCTGGAAAGGAGAAGGATGAACCAAGAAATCTCAGATTTATCCTCAGGTTTGCAGGATCCAGGCAGCAGAGTGGCACCTCAGGAAACCCCTCATAAGCTGAACAACGTCAGTGGAGGAATTGCTCAGTGCAGAACTCCAGAGGGCACCTGGAGGAATCCCAAAGCCTTTTCCTGCTGAAACCTCCCCGCTCAGGTGGCCCAGAGCATTCCCCACACACTCCAGTGTCCCCCAGCCCAAAGCCCTACCCTGCACTCCTTCCTCCTGCATTTAAAACCTGATTTTAATGCCCATTTACCTGTGTGAGTGAGTGCTCAGCTCATAAATGAAATACTTTTCAATATGTATGCACTAAACTGAAAGACAATAACGGCCCCGGGGAAGTTCATTCCATCAGGCAATTACCTGTGTGTTTAAAATCACCGTGTAAGTAATCCACACAACCCACTGCTCCTGCACATAACAATAAACAACTTTATCAGCTGTGCCCTGCCTGGGCTGCTGTGTACCAGCTCATTTTATTTCCTAGAGAACCACCACTAACCAGGGAAATTAATTGAAATCTTCAGGCAGAGGGAGGGGGAGGTACCTGCTCTAACAGGAGCTGACAAAAGCACATTTCTGAGAGGGGAGGGATAAAACCACATCCCCCAAGGGCAAACGGGCTGATTCCATCACAGAATCCAGGAGTCACTCTCAGATTTGCACCAGCCTGGAGCTCCTCTGCTCTAATTGCTCTGCTGTTGAACATTTAGTCAGAGCTTAAAGCCATTTCCAGAGCCAGCTCTATTTGCATGCCACACATCCCACTGAAATCTGCACATGGAGCTTTCCAGGCAAAACACTGTGAACCTCAATTTATAAATAGGCAACAGGGAAAAAAAGGAAGAGGGTTATGCACTCAAGGTACAGCAGCTACATCCTGGCAGCCCCAAGGCATCCATCCAGTGCTTCTGGGTAAAACTCTAATTTTCAGGGCAATACAGAAGGAAATCCGTATTTTTGTTTGTAACTCCTGTCTGGGAAGAGCTTTCCAACATCTGACAATTACAAGAGATCAAATTATATCCATTAATTAAATTTTATATCCAGTGTTTCCAGCATCATAAAGGATTAGAAAAAGCAGCCTCTAGGCATTGTATATGTTCTTAATGTATCTGTGCTTCTAAACTATCTTTAATTAATGAAAGAAACCAAAATTACTTATTAATAAGGTTCTGTGGGCTTTGTAAACCTCAGACATTTTGCATGAATTAAAGAACAATATAATGAAGTTTTAATGAATACAAAGTCACAGTTAATGTAAAATTTATATATAGCAAGCCAGAAGGGGAAGGAATTTAAGAGTACTTTTAATCATAGGTTATTGGCAGCTTGGATAGCTTCTTTTTATGCTTTTCTAATGGGTCCTTGGTATTTTTATTATCACTCCAGCATGGTCTGACTTGGTACAGTAGGCAAAGTACCAGCACAAAGTTTTGGACTAAGGTGGACTTGGATTAAGTTAAAATCAGAACCATTAAAACCCAAAACAACCCATTAAAATCAGAAACAAACTAAGCTAAAAATTATTTCAAGACAACCAGTCAAAAGGAAAATAAAGACAGCAAGAGATGGGAGATATAATATATAATTATTATATATAAAGAATTTATTCCTTTTAATTAACTCTTTATCAACGCTGAATGCATTCAACACAATTGTAAGTACAATAATATTTCACCCACAAAATTCAAATAGTGCAGGAGACACTGAATGCCAGAGGGTTGGTACAGCTACTGCAACTGTATTTGATGATAAACAAAACATTTAGTGCTTCCATTTCCCTGTTTCAGTAAGCTCAGTTTTTTAATGACAGTATTTTTCCCTTTGTAAACTGGAGGGTTACAGACCTAGAAAAGGGGTCTCTCACTCTCAACATGACATTTAGTAAAAAAAGTTACAAAACCCATCAGCTTTTAATAAAGAAACACCCTGGAATTCCTCAGCCAATAAAGGACTTCAAGCAAGGAAGCAAAATGTCTTCAAACGTAATTCTGTTAATCCACAGTGATGCCAGCAATTCCATGGCAATAACGTGGAACAGCCCAGGAATGAGGAGCAGGGAATGCTCCTGCACCTTCTGAGCCCCACAGCTCTGTCAGGCAGCAGCCTCAAACCATGAGAAGGCTGCAGCACAAAATGGAGCAGCAATTTCCCCCAAAGGTACCATCAGCTACCTCAAGAAATGATTCTGAGTCAAATGGGTTCGGTGCATTATGGTTTGGCTTCATAAAAACACCTTAATGCACACTGCACTGAGAACACTGCATGGGTCAGGGACATGGGGTTACAATTTAAAATCACCGTGCACTCCCTTACAGGGGACAAACACAGGGATTGAAAAGTGTTGCTAAAAATCCAGTTAAAAAAAAAAAAAGCACATATTTTATGAAAGAAATATTCTATCTGCAACTATTGGTGCTCCCATTTGATGGGCTGCTGATGTAAATCTAACCAGAAAAGACGCACTCATATATATAAAAATCAAAACAGGCAGGTTTCTCCTTCCAGGCTGGAAAAAAACTCCAAAATATATGGCATATTTAACCAATAAAAGGGAGCTAAGCTTACCCAAGCCTTTCATAATGCACTTCATGAAATATTTTTTCCTTTTAAAAGAACCACTGGTATTAAATAGAGCTTTTTCTTTACATACAGTATTGGTATATACAAAACAAATACAGAACAAAGACACAAAAATAAAACCAAACCCCAAACAGTGACTTTAATAGTCTTGAAGCTCAGGAATATTTTGGTAGAGGTCCAAAGCCTCTGGGTTTGAGAAAGCTCCCCGCTGCTCCACTTCTTTCCCTGCAATTATTTGCTTCACAGCTACTTCCACTTTCTTCCCATTTACTGTATACTGAAAAACAAAACCAGCAAAGATAAAATTACTTTTTTTTTATGCAGTGGTTTTATGAAAATATTCATGAAACCCCCCCCACCAACTCCAGAACTCTATCAAAATGTAGCAGAATGCCTTCTCTTTTGTTACACTTGAAGCACTTTCTTCTGAAAAATCACTTGAAGAGTAGGTAGAATTCAAAGAGTTTGTGGCAGTTTATTACTCCTACTGGCAATTCTGTGAGAACATGATCAAGCTCCAATATAAAACAACAAAACCACGGTATAAACACTAAAAATATTTGGTTTTTATGTTCTGACACATCCAATGTTCAAACAGTTTTCAATTTTTTAAGGGTGGACTCAAAAAACAAAGCCCAACTGCACTGGAAGAAGAAAACCAGAAAATAAGGATTTTCTTATCTGAACTGGATAGTTTTCCTAAAAGGGTGAAGTGAAACTGAGCTTAAACGGTCCTCTACAGTTAAACATTTCAAAACAACCCATAGCAAATAAAATAAACTGGAACCAACAGAGGCTTCACCTCCACTTGTGAATCACACAAATTCTATTACATTGTGTGGCTCAAAGTAATAACCCTGCAGAAAAAACCCAAATTCTTCTCTTGGGATCAGAGCTGTGATTTCTGACCAGGAGGAAGATGTGCTCCAGGGTCAGCAGGAG